GCTCTGGAGGAAATAAAACCAGAGTTCATATGTAAGGAGTCTGAGCTGCAGTTTCTGCTCTCACCTGCTTGGTGGCGTTGCAGTATTTGGCGCATCCTTTGTTGTGCATTTGTCCAAAAGGAAGATTTGCGTACTCGCAGCCGACCTGATGACTCTCCTGAGAAAACAAACATGATGAAGCGTTTGAAGCGATTAGGATCACAGGAATCAGAAACTCTTTTGGGTTTGAACTTTTTTCCCATCACTGAACTGAGAAGAATCCTGCATCATTTTCAAAAATTTACTGTGAGTTTACTGCAGGAAGGAAACAAAAATCTGTGAATAATGAATATTTACCATTTCCACGGTGCCTTCAGGACACTCAGTCTGGTCGAGGAAGCTGCAGTGAACACAAGGACCCTAAAAAAACAAATCAGCCTTTAGTTTCATCTGGAGATGCACCAAAATGAAAATCTATTAATACCAATGTATATATAAATTACACATATACTTCTCTAGTCTTAACAATAAACAATAAAACCATGGTGCACTTTGCTGCAGTTAAACTCCCACAATCCTTCTTCATAGTCACACTGGAAGTTGGGCTGGGCAATGTGGACTTAAAGTTTTTTCACAATATTTTGTAATAAGCTTATGATAAAAAGTGACAATAAGAATTATTTATTATTTTGTTTTTTAGGTAACTGTAAAGCTGTGAATGTATGACAACAATAATAGCCACATAAACACAAATAATGCACTTGGAAAACATTTGTAACGCACTTCTTTAGGCAGAAGTCACATGAAGAAGTGTGATTTATATCACTAAACTGCTCAAACTAACTGTATGCATCAATTTTATTGATGATTTATTTGAGAAAATAGTAAAACTAACAGTTTTGGGGGTTTTAACATCATCATTTGGAAATTATAGTGTCAACAACAAATTAAAATTCTCACCATGACAAGAAATTTATCACAATAAATGATAAACGGTTTGATAAATGGCTGTCTGACAAAAGTCCCTCAGCATCCCTGCTTTATTTAGAGCTTTAGATAAATTAACTTTATCAGGATGTACACAAAGGTTTTACAAAATCTTCTTTTTCCGATTTGTCAAACTTTGAGTTCTGTTATTGGGATCTTTTGCTTTAGTTCTGAATATTTGATGAGTTTTTCTGTGTTGACTTTGGTGAGCTCAGATGTGAAAGAGAGTTTGGGTTTTATTTTTAATTTAACTTTTTGTCTTTTGTTGAAAAAGCAACAGGTGCGCTGTGTTTCTGTGATGCACTATTTTGCTTGTATTGTTATCAATAGGCGTATTTGTACAATACGAATTATATTTTGGAATTTGTTGGATTTGCTCTAATAAAAACATCTGGAAAACCCCCACAATCCTTTGCTGCATCCCCAGGTTTCGTGGCGTCTCACCAGGGTGATCTTGCTGTTTGTGACGTCGCAGCGGTGCGGCAGGATGGGCAGGATGGAGGGCGGGTACAGCAGCCCGTCGATCATGTGGATGACGCCGTTGGAGGCCATGATGTTGGAGGTGGCCAGGCGGACTCCCTTCTCCCCCAGCAGGACTTCCCCCTGCGCAGCAGCACACGCCGTTCGACAAACACTCACTCAGGCTCAGTCAACCAATCAGAGGCACTCACCGTGTCAGAGGCAGAGATGGTGACCAGCTGATTGGCCATCGTCCGGACTCGAGGAAGGGCAGCCAGGTCATCTGCTGTGAGCTGCAGAGGGGAAAGCGTTGCAGCGTGACGTCAGGATCCCGGCCCAGCTTCCTGCTGGAGCCCCAAACCTTCCTAGCATTGGTTTAGCTGTTATCAATACAACAAGCTACAACTGAAATGTTTTCCTAAAAGAAAAAGGGACGCAGTGCTTTGCTATTTATTGACAGCTAGAGAATAAGGTGAGGAAAATGGTTGGTTGCTTCAGTGGCGCTGGATAAAACACAATCCGTATCAGGCGGCCACAGTCCTCGACGCGGCCGCTGAAGGTTCAATTCCCGGCCTGATGACCTTTGCTTCATGTCTTCCACACTTTTCCTGTCTAATTTCTCTCAAAAAAAGGCCCAAAAAAAACCTTAGGAATAAAAAGTTTGAAGACTTTTTCACTCACCTTCTTCCTAAAATGTAATCATTAAATGGATTTTTGGATTTCTGTACATTGAGTAATAAACACTGATTAAGGTAAGTACATGTAAATTGTGCAAAATTCAGGACATGAACTTTCGTTTCTTCGACCGCATCGTATTTTCAGCAGCAGGGAAATTTCTCTTCAGAGTCCAACAGTAATCAGCCATCATGGCTGCATCTCTAACTAATATGTAGCTTTAAACTGATGTGATTGTTGGATTCAGCACATCAACCATAAAACAGCTGAAAAACCCCGGACAGTTTTTTGGTTGTTGACTGTGTAATACAAAATTGAAAAACAAGAGCAGCTTTAATTGTAATAAATGTTGTTTTTACCCTAAAACAAGTGTGATAATTATTCTTTTTGCTTAACCATAAAGGACTGATGGACTTGGGCGGGTTGTTTATGGTGTGTTTACGGTGTGTTTATAGTGTGTTTACGGTGTGTTTATGGTGTGTTTACGGTGTGTTTACGGTGTGTTTGTGGAGTGCTTGTGGAGGGTTGGGTGGTTTCTTACGGCAGCATGCGAGAAGACGTGATGTCTGAGCAGCTCCTGGAGTTTCTGTTTGGCCTGAAAGAGAAGCAGATGAGCTGCAGCAGCTGATCAGACGGTAATCTGTGCTCTCCTCCGTCTGCGGCTTACGCTGTGCAACATGTACAGGATGCTGCCGTCTCTGGCCCGGTCCACCGCCTCGTTGGTGGGAACGAACACGGTGAGAGGTCCGGGTCCGCGGAGAGGAGGGGGGGAACCGCAGTTCTGTGAACGTTAAACGTGGGATTTATAAAGGTGGACTCCAGGAAACTCCCCTCTGACCTCCAACAACACAATAACTGCATTTCTTATTTAATGGAAACATAGAGATTGACAAAGTTTTGCACAAAGGTTTGCAGGGTCACATTTTACATAAAGGTCTGTGCACAAGTCTAACATGAGAATCACAATATGAGGAAGTCTTCATGTTTATGACTCATTTGGTAAATAATGACATTTCTGATGCAAAGTTGACACTTTGAACTGATTTTTAATGCAACTTTTATTTACCAAAAGTCAACACTGTTAATGCAAATTTTAATGCAACTTTGAGTTAAAAGTGTCATTATTTACTGAAATAATGACACTTTTTACTGATCATTATTTACTGAAATAATGACACTTTTATGTCATTATTTCAGCAGTCAGACATACATGACTAATTCATGTTCATCACAGTGTTACATCAGTCACATCCCTTCAAATTAAGTGTTCCCAATACAAACATGTTAAAGATCCATCTTCTGTTTACTGAGAAGGCACCAAATCGAGAACAGAAACACTCCCATTTACACAAATCGAATCAATTTGGCAAAACCTTTTTCTCAGAAGCCATTAAAAACACTACAGACTTTTGCAGAACATCCTTATGCAGCTTTAAATCAGAAACAGGAGCCATTTTGACATCCTCTAAATGGCAGCAGTCAGATTAAACAATGGTAAAGATTTAATCCACCAAAGCAGGAATATATACGAGTACAAAAATACAATTTCAAAACAATTACACAATCTTCACCATCTTTTTTTAATAACAACTGAAGTGAAAACATTTTCATTTTAATTGTATTTTCTTATGTTTGACTTTATAGCTGGTGTTTAGAGAGCATAACCACAGTCTTGTTTTCAAATGTCCTGTCAACTTTAAACACTTTCAGCTCATAAACACGACGGGCCGCTGAAGCCGGTCCTGTTGCCGCCAACACCAGACTCAGCATGTTTTCTGGGGAAAATGTCAGGATTATACTCACATCAACCAGAGACAGGAAGCGGTTGAATTTCTCATCTTTCCCCAGGATCTCCCCGATCGTCTTGTCAGCAAACTGGACAGAAAAGCAGAAAATGATCCGAAACGTTTCGCTGAGAGGAAACGCAGCACAACGGGGAAGCTGAACCGACCCGCTCGTCCCGGGCCAGCCTGCCGGGTGCGCTGCCTGTGATTGGCCGATCGATGATGTGGATGACGCCGTTAGCCGCGGGTAGGTCCGCCTGGACGATGGTGAACGGCCTGCTGGGATCGCTCATCAGGATGAACTTCTGCAGAGAAACAACAGAAACAAACCATTTTTTCTTCAGACTGACCCAGTTCTCACGAAAATGGAATATTATTGAAAACTTTAACTTAATTAGACTAACTACACTGACGTTTTTAAGCCATTATTTATTCATTTGTCAAAGTTTATATATTTAGTACATTTACAACAACCTCTGCTGACCAAAGTGCTTCACAACAATCAAAACATCACAGACAGATAGATGAAGAAACCAAAATTAAAAATAAGTTTCGTAAAAATAATAAGACAATTTTAGACCAAAAAATAATAATATGAATTAATGAAAAACCAAAACACTTAATTTCAGCTGCAGGGATTTCCAAAAAAGCTCACATCAGTGAAGTATTAACATCCTCCTTTTTTATTTTTTAATTGTGAGAATTTAACATCAAAACATTTAGAAGAGAAATATTGCTTTGTTTTTCCTGTCTCATTATTTCTGGGTTTGTTGTTGCCATGTAGGTTTTCTATGGACAGTTTCTGTGTTTTTATTATTGCCAACAGCAACAAGTAACTATATATTAATTCTGTTGCATACATGATGTAAATGTATTTAGTGCTTGGTTCTGTGCAGAAGGTTTGATTTGACATGAAATGTTGAAGTGAACTGAACATTTCTGCCTCTCTGAACCTGATAAAACAGGCCTGAGGTCGAAGGTCAGCCAAACTGAAATGGGTGTGGCTAAAGGTTTGATTCAGAGCAGCTGCAAATATCTTCTCAGAGGAGCTGGATTTGACACACCTTCTGTCATAAACATGCGGAAAGAGGAAATGATGTGTGCATTGAAGCTCCGCCCACTCCGTCAGGCAGACAAACAGAAAGCAGTTTTCCTTTCTTGCTTCTGATTGAAGTCAAACTGTAAGAAAACAGCTGAAAGACTCATTTCAATGGCATAAACTAGAGGCGGCGACGTGGGGAACTCTGAAATACTGGATCTGAACTCCTTCAACCTAAAAAGCTTCAACCTGGGAGAGCTCAGCTCAAAGTGAAAGTAAGTCCTGCCTGCTTTGTCTTCAGCCGCATTCAGAGACAACATGTCCTCCAGGCCTGAGGAGGATCTGTCCTGCCCCATCTGCCAGGACATCTTTAAAGACCCGGTGGTTCTGACCTGCAGCCACAGCTTCTGCAGAACCTGCCTGCAGACCTGGTGGAGGGGGAAGAAAACACAGGAGTGTCCCTGCTGCAAGAGGAAGTCGTCCCGCAGCGACCCGCCTCGCAACTTGGCCTTAAGGAACCTGTGTGAAGCCTTCACGGCCGCCGGGATGTCGGAGTCAGAGCATCTCTGCACTCTGCACTCTGAGAAGCTCAAGATCTTCTGCCTGGACCACCAGGAGCCAGTGTGCGTCATCTGTCGGGACTCCAGGATCCACAGCGAGCACCGGTTCCGGCCCGTGGACGAGGCGGCGCAGGAGCACCGGGAGGAGCTGCAGAAGATCCTGAAGCCTCTGCAGGACAAGCTGGCCGTCCTGCAGGACGCTAAAGCGGACGGGGACCAAACCCTGAAGTTCATCAGGCTGCAGAGCCAGCAGACCGAGAAGCAGATCAGGGAGCAGTTTCAGAAGCTGTACAAGTTCCTGCAGCAAGAAGAGAGGGCAAAGGTCGCCGCTCTGCAGGAGGAAGAGGCGAGGAAGAGTGGGGTGATGAAGGAGAAGGTGGCGGCTCTGAGCAGGGAGATCGCGGTTCTGTCAGCCACCATCACAGCTGCGCAGGCGGAGCTGAAAGCCGCAGATGTCTCCTTCCTGAAGAACTACCAGGAAACAGTGAGGCGGGTCCAGCGGCGCCCCCTTCAGGACGACCCGCAGCCCGTCCCCAGAGCGCTGATAGACGTAGTCCAACACCTGGGCAACCTGACCTTCAACATCTGGAGCAGCATGAAGCGGGTCGTGTTCTACAACCCCGTGGTTCTGGATCCGAACACGGCGGACCTGGAACTCGTCCTGTCCAGCGATCTGAGCAGCGTCCGGTCCGGAGAACGGAAGCAGCTGCCCAGGAACCCGGAGAGGACCCGGTTCTCCTGCTCCGTCCTCGGCTCGCAGGGCTTCACCTCGGGGACGCACAGCTGGAGCGTGGACGTCGGGGAGAACCAGGACTGGGAGCTGGGCGTGCTGGGGGACGCCGTCCAGACGGGCGGAGCCCCGGCGGCGCAGCTGTGGAGGATCTCTTTCTGCCAGGGAAAGCTCACTGTGTTCTCCGGATCCGAACCGGAGACGGAGCTGCCGCTGAAGGCGCCGCTGAGGAAGATCGGCGTCCATCTGGACGTGGACAGGGGGAGGCTGTCTTTCAGCAACCACAGCACCAACACCAACATACACACCTTCACACACAGCTTCAGCACCACATTGTTCCCTTACATTTACACCGAGGACCCGGTGCCGGTCCGGCTCCTCCCGGCCAGCATCTCGGTGAGCGTCAACAAAAACGCCTGAGAAGATCCACAGCGTGACGCGTTTGACAGCGTTTCCCATCTCTGAGCTGAAACTCCCTCTTTCTACTGGAGACTGTTTGTCCAGTTTTGATTCTCAATAGAGGTGCACCGATTTATCAGCGCCAATTTCCTTCATTTTAGGAGATCAGCTGAGCCTTTCACATGAAGTCAATCTGATTCACCGAGCTTTTCTACCTCAGCAAAGATTTAAAAAATATCCTGTCAAACCTGTTCTGCTCTGCAGTGAGAGGTTTGATGCTGCCAACCAGGTCATGTCTGCATGTTTAAAGTTAATAATTAGCAACATTTCAGACAAAAAGTATCTGTCAAAATCTGAATTGGCAAGTCAGGCTTCTCAAAAATCGGCAATCGGCCAGGAACTGCAATCGGTGCACCCTTAATTTTAAATGTAAACTTAAAATCAAATCTCTAGAAAACAAGCGACACGCTGGTCTGTAAATACAAAATACGAAGCTGGGATGAGAGAAAACATGCTTTTCTAATCATCTGAATTAGGGGTGGGTGAAACGGACTTTTGTGAAACATTTATGATATTGATGAAAGTGAGGCTAAAATCTATTTCTTTCTCCTTTTCTAGTTAACTGTGTTAACTAGAAATACAGTAACTAACTGCTTTCAAACATTTTTACGTCTGAAAACATAAAAATGTTTCTTTAATTTCCTTTATTTTTCTTTTTTGAACTCAGTCGGACACGAAAATATTTAGTTAATTCATATTTCTTTCTAAGGAGATACGTCTAACCTTGCAGATCTCTGGTTCCTCCAACCTGTCAGAACCCTTCTCGGGTCGCTCGCCGAGAAGGGTTCTGACAGGTTCTGATGGGTTCTAACAGGTTCTGACAGATCTTCAGGTCCAGTTCAGATAAAGGTGGTTCTGTTAAGGGACTCAGCTGACAGAAACATTTTGTTTGCTTGTTTTTATCTGCATAGGTTCAAATAATTACATTATAAATATTATAAATCTGAAGGAAAAATACAATGAAATTGTGCAATTTTCTTTTATCTTATTTTAACATAATTAATGTTCATAAATATTCAGTATTGGGTTTTTGGTGAATAGTTTTATTTAGTTTCAGTTTTACTTTGAGGTGCAATTTTAGCTAAAAAGCTAAATATTAAAGTTACTTGTTTTGATTTTTAAAATGAGAAAATAATGTCTGAGTGAAAATTATTATCTGTTGAGTTTAATGATCATTTTCCCTGATTAATGTGAAATTATGTTACTGGGTATAAAATTATGGAAATCTTCTGTTTTGGGAGAAAAACCTATTTATTCATTTATGTAAAAAAATAACTGATTTCTAATCATTTGTCATAAAATGAAATCTTTTTATAAAAGGTGATGAAATCATTTAAAAATTATTTTTTTTACATTTTCCCATTTATCAGCTAATTTTAATGTTGGGATGAATAAAAATCAAATAAATTTGATCATCTTTGTGTTTTTTCTTCCTTATTGGAGTTAATCTTAACAATCTCCCAGCAGGAACCATGTTTGAATGGTGATCTATCGCTGACAGGCCAATCAGCTTCTGAGAAGAAAGAATGACCCGGTTCTGGTTCTGGAGGAAACAACTGGTCACCTTGTTGGCTTTGACTCTCAGCTTTCCTCCGCCGTAGAGGCTGAAGTCTCGGCCCTCCAGGTCCTGGTAGAGGTGCTGACCCAGGATCAGGTGGTTCCTGCACACCTCCTCCTCGTTGACGCCCTGCAGACGGAGCAGATCGGGTTCAGCCGCACGGGCCTTGACTGCAGAACCGACCCACAGATAAAACTCTTTAAATGTAGGATTATAATCTGAATCAATCAGCCATAAACGAATCTTTTCTCAACTTCAAACTGCATGCTGAGCTCAGCGATGTTAAAATAAGGCTTCCTGTGGTTCTGATCGGGTTCTGGACCTAATTTATCGTCTAAACATCACCGTTAGGCTTTGACCGGTGACAAGGTTCTGAGCTCAGATCCAGACCCGGGTTTTCATCTCAAAAAATGTAGTTGAGTTTTGTCAATGTCCAATCTGTGAACCGGGTCACAGGGTCATGTTCCATGTGACCCGGTTCTTTCAACCTGAACAGGAAGCTGAACCCACACTCAGACGTTCTTTGAGGAGCGGGAAGAAAGCAGTGAAGGGTCCAGAATGACTCAGAACCATGGAACAGCCTCCCCCTGCAGAAACAGAAACAACAGATTCACAGCAGAACACCCACAGAACCAGCAGCAGCAGACGGGTCCATAAACCCAGATCCTTCACCCAGGAAGAAAACAATCAGAGGAGGAGGGGAACCGACCCGTCACCATGGAAACTAAAGCAGAGGCCCGGTTTTGTGCTGTACCTCCTGGGCGGAGTTTTCTTTATTTTACCGAACAAGGCGACGGCTCCGGTCAGGTTCTCCCTCTGGTTCCCTCTCTGGTCCAGCTCCATGAGGCGCACCATCAGGTTACCGTAGCAACGGCGTCCGTCACCAATGAGCCCCGGCTCGCACACACACCTGGTTTACCGGGAGCAGAAGGATGAAGGTCAGTGCTGCTGTTCTCGCTCTGGGCTCTAGAGGGCGACCAAGTTCCTCTCCCTGGATTCAGCGACACAGTTAAACATGAACCCTCTCACTTTACGAAACGAAACAAAAACAAAACAGGGATGACTTCGTTGAGGTCGTTTTTATGCAGAGATTCAAACTGAAAACATCAAGTGTTCAGAAAGTTTGAGTTTTATTACATGAACTAAAGAATAAGGTTAAAGTAACTGAAACACACTTTGATTTATTAAGTTAAGTTCACTGAAATTAGTTCATTTATTGTTTCTGGTGTCCAGTTCTCTGAAGGGCCATCTGACCTGGGTTTTCCATCCAGCTCTGTCTGGCAGGTCGCCGTGGGGTCACAGGTCACGGCTGTGCAGGCGGAGACCAGCTGGCAGCCGTGCTCAGCGCTGCCACCTACAGGCGACATGCCCAACATGCATTCACAGCTGGACTGAGACACAAAAAAACAGAAGAATTAGAACAGCAGCTGAGAGGCTCCAGGTTCCCTCAGACCCGGATTTGGGTTATCTCAGATCCAGCTCCAGATTCCTTCAGATCCAGATCCGGGGTTTCCAGAGCCAGCTCTGGGTTTCCTCAGATCCGGCTCCGGGTTTCCCCAGATCTGGGTTTCCTCAAATCTGGCTCCTGGTTTCTCCAGATCCGGGTTTCCCCAGATCCGTGTTTTGTTCTCACCTTGTCGGGTCCTTTGAAGACGCAGACGGTGGAGTTGGCGGGGCAGCCTCCGTTGTTGACCATGCAGGGGTTCTTGGGGATGCAGATCTTCCCGTCTCCGTCGTAGCCGGGTCTGCAGGTGCATCTTATGTTGCTGGCCTCCTTGGAGCACTGGGCGTTGGCGTCGCAGTCTCTCTGGGAGCAGGCGGCTGAGGACACAAGCAGCTCAGCTCAGTCAGAGCCAGGCATCTCTGCTTTTAGGTCACCCAGACTAAACAATCTTCTTGCTCTGAGAAAGTTTCATGAAGCTCTTTCATGCACAGTCTGAGGCGCGCCTCACCTAGACACTTGTCCTTCATCTTCCTGTATCCAGGCAAGCAGTCGCAGTCGGCATCTTCTGCTTCTCCTTTGCAGTAGGAGTAGGAGCTGCACCTGCGGCACCCTCTGCTCACTACCGACACACAGCAGGGTGGGAAAAGCTGCCTCAACAACTCCTGCTTTAAAGCTGCATTACTTTTACTGAAAATATCTATTTTTACAGAAGTCGTGACAGTTTGACAGATAATATATGAAACATACAAATCTCCTCTGTGCTTACTAGAAACAACCAATCAGAGCCAGGTTCAGGGTTTTAGGGCTGTTAATCACAATCTCATGTGGCGCTGCTCGCCCCACCACCACTCAAGTTTCCCCCCTGTCAGCAGATCCTGTTGTGAATGCTCAGACTCGTTAGTATAGCCATGGATGACAGCAGATCAATGATTTAGCTGTAACAGTAAGCTGTTTCTCTGCCGTTAGCACATTTAGCAGCAAATACATGAGGATGATTGACAGCACTATGACCCTCTTTATGGCTATGATTGTGTTTTTTTTCATAAGCAATAAATCAACTAATTGTACAAGACAAAACAACCTCAATAATTTGTTTGTTAATTTATATGGCAATTTTGTTTACAGAATCCATAACTAATTTTGTTGTTTTATTTATTTTAGATATTTAAAATGTCTTCCAGTTCCAGTGTTAAGTCTTCATTAAAATTAAAAGTTTGTTGATCTGATTTTATTGTTTATTGTTCTTACATTATTCTGCCATTACCAGGATATTTATTAAAAGTTGTCTCAAAACAACAGTAGAATTGTTTATTGCGATAATGTCTGGGACAATTTATCGTCCGTTTGTTACGATGACGGGCCTCCTCCTGATGATGACGTCATCACCTGCAGCTCAGCCTGAACCAGCGTTTAGCGCCTCACCTTGGTCACAGCGCCTCCCAGTGTACGGAGGCTGACACCAGCACTGCCCGTCTCCGTCGGGGCCCTTGTTACACACTCCGTGGACACAGTCGCACTCTGAACACACACAAAGTCCTCAGAGTCAGGCTGCAGCTCGTTCTGACTTCAGCCACTAAATCACAGGATGCAGAACTGGAATGTGGGAAATGTTAGACTGGATTGATAATATTGAACAGAGGAGTCTGGTTCTGATCTGTGGAAGAAATCAGGATCCAAAAGACAGCTGCGTCTCCTCCAGCTAGATGCTCAGCCGGTTATGCTGTTCTGCTGATGAACCATCATTTCATCCAAGTGTGTTGAACCAGAGAAAGAAGAAAAGGTAGGAGACGGAGCTCCTACCTTTATCACATTTCTTCCCAAATGCATTCGGATTCTTACACTCCTGACAAGCAAATCCAGAGAAATCCTCCTGCAGAAAGAAACAAACATTTTTATTCCATTATGTATAAAAACACACAAAATGCTGACAGCTTCCCTCTGGAACGAACAAATCTGGGTTCCATAAAGTGAATGCAGTGGCAGATGAAGGCTGATGTGTTAACTTTCTAAATGGTTTTCAGGCGCTCCGGGATGGGATCAACACCGGCGCAGACAGATGAGCCACTGCTCTGGCCCGGTCCTGAGTTTAAAGGGGCAGTATTACGTAAAATCAGCTTTATTCAGCTTCACGTCATGTTATAACGTTATGTTATCCTCTTCCTTTGGTTCTTTTATTCATTTGTAAGAAATATTTTAATCTCTATGGCAACCATTCAGCTGTGTAAAATACCTGGGTGGACATAGCTCTGTCTTCGAAGTGAATCTTCTCTCCTACCCAGCTCCTTCAGACTAGCCAGCAACAATTAGCAAACATCTGGTGGAACTGCTGAGCTCATTGTAGAAGCTATATGTCAGAGGAACGCTAGTAAAAACGTTCTTAAAGGGTAAATACAGGAGCCATTTTGGGACGACGTCCTGAAGGCGGAGCTTCAGAAAGGGCAGGGATTTTTAAAGAAACAGACACCCAAACTGATTGTGCTATGAAATGGTGATCTGAGCCTGGAAAACACAGTACTGGCCCTTTAACATCAGGAACGCGTCGCGGCCCTCAGGTGCGCTCTAACCTTACAGATGCAGGTCCCGTTGCCGACGTCTCCATCCACACAGTCACCATTGTAATTGCAGATCCTTCCTGACCAGCTTGGGCATGCTGCACACGCACACACACACACACACACACACACACACACACACACACACACACACACACACACACACACACACACACACACACACACACACACACACACACACACACACACACACACACACACACACACACACAATGATTGGTTGGGAATAGCTTTTGAACAGACAAGTAGAGGTGAGCATTGATGGCAAAAAGATTATAAAAAAATATCTTATATTCTTTAACAACTTCAATAACAATCACAGAGGATATTCCACATTTTCTTCTTTTTTGGTGTGAATACATTTTATGTGTTTCTTTTATAAACAGCCACTGGAATAAGAAATATATTCATATATACAATAATACAAAAACCATTTCAAAGTAAATATAAAATACACAAATAAATATAAATGGAAACTAATTTTGACCAACAAAAAATTATCTGTCATAGTTACCGAATGTAATTAAAAATACTGAAATACAAAATGCACTGATTGTAGTTTTCTGGCCGATGGTCAGTTACCGATCTCTAAAGAGCCTTAGCTGACTATTTTGATTTTCGCCG